AATTATGTGTCCACCTTTCCATTGCAGTATTCCGCCACCAGGAACCGAACCTCATGCCTTCCATCATTTGTCATTTTTATGGTATACCGGTTTGGGCGCCGCAACCACAGTTATTGTCTCTCTGTTGACCACCTTTTATTTCGGCAGACAGGATAGCAGTGAAGTTAATCCAAATTTGATAATTCCCAAGCTGAGGAAATATTTGAAACCCTATAAATATAGCAGTGTTCCTGTGGATATGGACAAGTTGAACGGAGAGGCTAAGGAAATGGAGGCATTGAATCAGAAGGATGAGTTTTAAAATTTTAAATTTTAATTCGTTTTATGAAAATTTAGTACAATATTTTAAATTTAAATTTTATACAATTGTAAGTTTTGTTGTTTTTCGGCTAAGAAATTAAATGTTTAGATGAAAAAAAAGGCGATTTGTTGTTTTTATTTTCTGCTCAGACTAGACTTCTTTAAAACAAAGATAGGCGGATTTTTTTGGAAATGAAAGCGTCGATTTATTTAAATAATACTTGTAAGGGCTCGCGGAAATATAAGCTTAAATTTTTAAAGATTATTTTTGAAGACCTGAACAATAATCCTGGATTTTTTAAGAATATTTTCCAAGGTACTGTGTTAGAACTTTCAGAGCAATAAGAGTAGGATTCTTAAGAATATTCCTTCAAGGACTATACATGGCGTGGATTTTTAAATATATATAATTTTCAATCATGTTTAATATTGATCCATGTTATGGGGGCTACTCTGACCCCCATAATATGGTAGCCCCAATATGGGAATTTTTGACACGTTTCTCAAATTGGGTTAATTTGGTATTTTGGGTTCTCATAACGGTATCCAATTTTGCATAGTTTTGTCTTTTGTCTGCAGGCAGGTCAAGTTCGAAGATGGGCTTTATCGGTCCACGTTTAGGTATAGCCCCAATATAAGGGTACCCCTCAATTTTCGGTATTTTGGGGTTCTTGAGCGCGTTTTTCAACCGAATACGCTGAAAATTATAAATATAGGTCCACTTTTTCTGGTAGCCCCCATACCTCCAAATTTTCAGTATTTTGGGGATTTGATAGTATTTTTCCACCGATTTATCTGTAATTTAGTATTTTGAGTTCTTAATAGGTACCAAATTTCTCCACAAAAAAATTGTGAATATAGGTCAATTTTTTCGGATAGCCCCCATATAAGGGTACCCTCAATTTTCGGTATTTTGGGGTTCTTGAGCGCGTTTTTTAACCCGAATTTGCTGCAATTTGCCCCCTTTTTGAGGAAGTCCCCATATAACCCCCTTTTTATACCCTTCACCACACTGTGGTAGTTGGCCCTTTAAAATATTCTTTAATAAATCCACGCCTTCAGTTGGCCCTTTAAAATATTCTTTAATAAATCCACGCCTTCAGTTGGCCCTTTAAAATATTCTTTAATAAATCCACGCCTTCAGTTGGCCCTTTAAAATATTCTTTAATAAATCCACGCCTTCAGTTGGCCCTTTAAAATATTCTTTAATAAATCCACGCGTGGAATTTTAAAAGAATATTTTTTCAAGGCATAAAATAGGCGTGGATTTTTATATCCTTCACTACACTGTGGTGCAGGGTGTTATGTCTTTGTACATATGTTTGTAACAGGCAAAAGGAAACGAGATAGACACATGGTTCATTTTAAGAATATGCATAGAATCACTTTGCGAGTCGATTTATGCATGTCCGTCTGTCTGTCCGTCCGTCTGTCCATTCGTCCATGTATTTTTGTGAACAAAGTACAGGTCGCATTTATGATCCGATATGGCCACTTATTTGGCCCAAGGACGAACCCTATTGAAATTGGAGAAAATCGGTTCGGGTTTAGATATAGCTCCCATATATAGTTTCGTCCGATTTTAGGTAAGTAGTGCACCAAACTCCCAATATTGGTCCGATTGATACAAAATTTTGAACAGAGTATTGATGTAGGTATGGGTTGATGTATGCCAAGTTTGGTTGAAATCCGTTCAGATTTAGATATAGCTCCCATGTATAATTTTGGTCGATTTTAGGTAAATTTTGAATGGATAGATATAGCTCCCATATATAGTTTCGTCCGATTTTATGTAAATGGCGCACCGAGGAAATTTGGCACAGCGTAATGAATTAAGTCTAGAATGACGTGTGTTAAGTTTCGTGAAAATCGATTCAGATTTAGATATAGCTCCCATATATAGTTTCTTCCGATTTTAAGTAAATGGTCCACCAAACTAACAATGCTGGTCCGATTGAGACATTTTGCACAGAGTATTGATGTAGGTCTAGGTCATTTCACCCGCGGAGGATAGCGAGATAAATAATTATAACGTAAGGTTCGATAATGAACTATAGCCGCATTTACACCTAGCCCCTGTGTGGAGGTTCCAGAAGGAGTGGACCGATATTCTCCATCTTCGAATTCGAACTAAGTTTGGAAGATATAATAAGATGGGCAAAGTTTGGATGAAATATAAATTTTCTGAAATGGATTTGGTCCAATAAAACATTGGGTCTAGAACCAATATTTCGATGAGGCACATTTTCACCCTGTTAGAGTGTATACACCCTCCTTCCTTAAAAAATTCTGCAATTTGTATTATGGTTTACATAAACCGTTTTGAGAAATGTCGGTATAGGTCCACTTTTTGATATGTTCCCTATATTTTCATTTCTAGTACCTGTCAGTATATCTATGGTGGAGGGTATCCAAAGTTCGGCCCGGTCGAACTTAACGCTTTTTCACTTGTTTGGATTAAAATTTCTGTAAAATTTTTAATAATGAATAAGCTGTTTTAATTATTTTTATATACATCTAATTTAGGTGTTTCTTAAACCCTCTGCAAATTTTTGTAGTCTAGAAAATATAGTGGCATGCTATATCTTGAAGAAAGTGAGGCCTCGGGGAAAATAAGGCCTACATCCATTAAGTATCTCAAATGTGGAATTCGTGAGAATATTGAGAGTATAGGGCAGTAATTTTACGAGCTAGAATTTCTTAACGATGATATAGTCCTGTAAGCGCGACCGTTGTAGTCATTTGCCTAATATTGTGTTTATACCCACCATAAGCTGAAGCCTATATTAAATTTGTCATTCCGCTTCCGCATTCCGCTTATTAGATAGAATTCTAAGTCGATATAGCCATGTCCGTCTTTATGTATGTTGAATATATTTTGTATTACAAATGAGGTATATAGGGCCACGTTTCTTCATAGCTCCCATCTAACGGAGCCGTCCAATTTTCGGTATTTGGACTCGGTTTTCAACAACATTCGGTTCTGTTTAGGACTCTCTATTTTATATATTGACATATTTAGATACATTTTTTTGTTTTATACCATAACTAGCTGGATCCGTGGCGCTTCGCTGCCCTGAATCCTGAATTTTTATATGCTCGTATTAACAATACAGAAATGTGTGACTAAAAAAAAATGTTTTTCATATACTGAAAAAAAAATTCAAAATTGATACATTTTATAAATTTTACACAAATTTTATTTCGTTATAAGTATGTATGTGCATGAAAATGAAGAGAACAATGTTAGTAGAATTACTTAACTGGTCGTTATTGTCACTACTGATAAGTACACTTAATAGGGTAAATAACAAGTTTTTATATATTACCAACCCTAATATTCGATATCAGGCATTCCAGTACTTTTTAATAGTAAATGTAGTAAAAGGAAACAAAAATGAAAAAATTTTAATGTCAATCATTTTTATTTCAATACACATACATACATTTGTACATATTTTGTATTTTATGTATTTCAAACTATTCCAAAATCTTCGGATGATGCACAATTGCAGCCATCTTTCTGAACCAAATTTTAAAGTAGCTACATGCTACTAACAAACATACATACATATATTCATTCAGAAGTATGATTATTTTTGATGATATTACACCGCACCCACGCGGATTTTTAGAAGTTTATCTAACCTATGTTACTTCCATCGCTTGGTGCACTCTTGGTAAAATTTGTTCAGTTGTTCTTAAGTCTACAAACAATATGCTTTCGATTTTCTATATATGTACATTTGTATGTATAGATAGAAATGCAATAAGGCGTGCATTTTCCCTTGGTAGTCCGCGATCCTGTAATATGGATGATGCGTACTTACGCCCTCGTTACTCAGACATATTTTGAAGTCGGTATCTGTAACCTTTCTTAAGATATACACAAATTACATGTTCATAATTTCTGAGGCATGAGTACGTTCGATGCTATAACTCCGCATCCACGCCGAATCTTAGAGGTTTATATAACCTATGTTATTCCCAGGACATGTCACGACGTTCTGCGAAAGTCTCAGTAAAATCTGCCCAGCGATTTTTGAGTCAACTAAAGAAATGTTTTCTGTTTTCAATATGCAGATTTTGAAAATGCAGCAGAAATTTTATTTTCCGTTGATCGTACCAAGCCCGTTTTTGTATACGTTATTCTCACAAATTTTGAAAACGGTATCTGTAACCGTTCTTAAGATAAACGCATATTACATGTTCCGAAATTTTGAGGTATGTTTACTATTGACGCCATAACTCTGCATCCACGCGGAATTTTAGAAGTTTAGCTAGTATATGTTACTTTCTGGGCATGTCATGACATACAGTGTAAATGTCATTAACATCTGTTCAGCGGTTTTTGCGTCTATCGGGAACATACACACAAACAAACAAACAATTTTTTTTCTATTTTATATATATATATATATATATAGATAAATAAGATGGTTGTTTATTTTAAAAATACGAATATTCCTTCTTAAACGAAGATATATCATCAAATATCGGAAATCGAATGAAGAAGAAGAAGTACTGGAGCTCTTCTGACATGCGTTGCACTCGTAAGAACATTTTTTCCAAATTTTTTGTAAACATATTTTTCCAAATTGATGCCAATTAACTAGACAGTACACCAGGCCTTTGTCTGTGTTATCCATATCCGTTATGACAAGTTATTAATTTCAAATTTTATTGATATATTTTTTCAGTACTTCGATAAACGATTTAGTCGTCGTATGCGTCTATTTGGTGCTGTACTATTCAATATTAAAACTGTAAGTATAAATGAAAATCTGTACAATATTTTTAGAATACAAAATATCCTTGTTTTATACTAAAGCTTTTATGGCTACCAATTGCTGTCTATGTTCCGGCCTTAACATTGAGTCAAGGTATGTATACAAAAATATAATTTCATATACTTTTTATATTCTGACATTGCATATACTGTAGGGTAGATGAGGTCGTTTGCCTAAGAAATTCTCTGCCATAGAATACAAGAATTATAAAATTAGATAGCTTTCGATCATCATCGATGTATATCATTTGCAGATTATACATCTTTATACCCTTCACCACACTGTGGTACAGGGTATTATGTCTTTGTGCGTATGTTTGTAAGGGGCAAAAGGAAACGAGATAGACACATGGTTCCTTTTGAGAATATGCATAGAATCACTTTCTAAGTCGATTTATGCATGTCCGTCCGTCTGTCTGTCCATGCTGAATTTTAAACAAAGTACAGGTCGCATTTATGATCCGAATTGGATGAAATTTGGCATGGGTCACGTATTCGGCGCAAGGACGAACCCTATTGAAATTGGGAAAAATCGGTTCAGATTTAGATATAGCTCCCATATATATAATTAACAGATTTAATGTAAACGGCCCCTAAATATCTTTCGATTTCCACGAAATTTGGTACAGCCTAATCATTTAGGTCTAGAATGATTTCTGCCAAGTTTCGTAAAAATCGGTCCAGATTTAGATATAGTTCCCATATATAGTTCCGTCCGATTTCATGTAAATGGTGCCCCAATGTCCCTATATATCTTTTGATTTGCACGAAATTTGGTATAACGTACTGAATTAAGCCTAGAGTGTTGTCTGTCAAGTTTGGAGAAAATCGGTCCAGATTTAGATATAGCTCCCATATATATAATTAACAGATTTAATGTAAACGGCCCCTAAATATCTTTCGATTTGCACGAAATTTGGTACAGCCTAATCATTTAGGTCTAGAATGATTTCTGCCAAGTTTCGTAAAAATCGGTCCAGATTTAGATATAGTTCCCATATATAGTTTCGTCCGATTTCATGTAAATGGTGCACCAAAGTCCTTAAATATCTTTCGATTTGCACAAAATTTGGTATAACGTACTGAATTAAGCCTAGAGTGTTGTCTGTCAAGTTTGGAGAAAATCGGTCCAGATTTAGATATAGCTCCCATATATAGTTTCGTCCGATTTCATGTAAATGGTGCCCCAAAGTCCCTATATATTTTTGATTTGCACGAAATTTGGCATAACGTACTGAATTAAGCCTAGCGTGATGTCTGCCAAGTTTGGAGAAAATCGGTCCAGATTTAGATATAGCTCCCGTATACAGTTTCGTCCGATTTCATGTAAATGGTGCCCCAAAGACCCTATATATCTTTCCATTTGCATGAAATTTGGCAAGTTTCGTGAAAAAAGGTCAAGATTTAGATATAGCTCCCGTATATAGTTTCGTCCGATTTCATGTAAATGGTGCCCCAAAGACCCTATATATCTTTCCATTTGCATGAAATTTGGCATACCGTACTTAATTGAGCCTAGAATGATGTGTGCCAATTTCGTGAAAATCGGTCCAGATTGATTGATTTTAAGTAATTGACGTACTAAGGAACCAATAGGAACAAAACGTTCTGAAATTAGTATAACCTAACCTGTGACAAGTTTGTTTGAAATCGCTTAATATTTGGATAGAGCTTCCATATATATTTTCGCCCGATTTCAAGTAAATTGGGCATCAAACTCCTCATGTTAGTCAGATTGACATCAAATTTTGCACAACGTACAAAATTGAGCATAAAATTACTTAGTTGCATTTTCTAGAAGTACAGACATAGCCCAACGGATTACCTATTTATACTTGTTTGAAGTCGATTGACATACTTTATAGATAGATCTAGGTAGATTCACATGTAGATAAATATCACATATGTTTTTCATCCAATTTCATGTTAATAGTCCTGTTTAATATACCCGTAGTGGTGAAGGGTATCATATAGTCGGCCCCGTCCGACTTTACTACTTTCCTTACTGGTTTTAATTTAATATACGGTAGATGGCTATAATGGTAATCTCTATAGTTTACGTGTCATCTGAATATTGATTTGAATTTCTTTCAGTTAGTGGCATTGAATTACACACAATTGTACCGATTGTTATTGTCATCTGTACCTTTTATACCACCGTGGTAAGTACTGTACCCACCAAAAGAAAAAAAAATACAAAATACATATTTTTGTCGTACTTCAAATCTTCTTCCTTCTAGGGTGGCATACGTGGTGTCGTCTGGACCGATGTCATTCAGAGTTTTGTTATGTTTGGTTCCATGTTTGTTTTGATCATTAAAGGCACCATCGATATTGGCGGACTCGGAGTACTGTGGCAAAGGAATATGGAAGGAGGACGATTAAATTTCCCAGAGTAAGTAAAAAATTATATATATATATACATATATATATTATTTATTCCGAATAAATAAAAAAATAATATGATATGCAGATTAACATTGGACCCAACCGTTCGCATGGGTATACTACCAGTTTTTATTGGTGGCACATTCTTTAAGCTGCAGAATACCTCGATTAATCAGCCAACCATACAACGCTTTATGTCCCTACCGAATCTAAAGAAAATCAAGCAAACTTTGTGGACCTTTTCCATTGGTCTGACTTTACTGTATAGCCTTTGTATTTATGTGGGCCTGTTGGCCTTTGCCACATTTCATGATTGTGATCCGATTTCGACAGGGGTAAGTATTTTTTAGAAAATATTATAAAAAAAACATAATTCCAAATTTATCTTCACAGCTATGCCATTCCCGTGATCAATTGGTCCCCGTATTAGTAATGAATGTCTTGGGTAAATTTCCTGGTATGCCGGGTGTCTTTGTTTCGGGAGTCTTTAGTGCTGCGTTGAGTTCACTGTCAACCTATTTGAATTCCTTGGCTGCTGTGGTTTTGGAAGATTTTATTAAACCATTTTCTAAGAAGCCGATAAGTGAAAGGACAACGGGATTGATTATGCGTACCGTGGTTGTGGTTTGTGGCCTTAGCTCGATTGGTTTGGTGTATGTGGTCGAAAAATTGGGTATGGTATTGCAGTTATCCGCAACACTGCAATCTATTGTCTACGGGCCGATGTTGGGTATATTTACCGTGGGTATGCTGATGCCATGGTTAAATGAGAAGGTAAAGGGGTGGGTAAAATATAAAAACAATTTTTGAATTTATAGTTTCATTTTTTTAACAGAGTGTCCTGGCTGGCAGCATTTTCTCCTTCCTAAGCATGGCCTGGATATGTGTTAATGCCCAAATTGCCAATGTCACAGGATCTTTTCGCCATCCCAAGTTACCAGTTTCCGTTGAGGGTTGCAGTTATGATTTTGATATGACCAAATATTTGAATTCCACAGCGGAATAGTAAGTTTTGTTTAAATTGACTGAATTAATTTCATTATTTAATGAAAACTCTTTCCGTTTCAGTTTACCATCCCATGGCACTAATATTTATCACATTTCCTTTTTGTGGTACACCGGCTTGGGCGCCTGTTTAGTTATGGTGGCCTCAAATGTCGCCTGTTTGTTCTTTGGCTTGAATGACGTTTCGAAGTTGGATCACAGACTTGTATCGCCATTTATTGTTAAATATCTGCCAAAGAAATATGCCTACGCTGAAGTGAAATTGGAAAAAGATTTGCCATTTAAAAATATCAAGTGAATGTATTATAGATTAAGTTATGTATGTATATTGGGTATAGTAATTATCAAGTAAAAATAAATAGCAACTGCAATAAAGCAGATGGACTCAAACAGTCGAAGATATACGGTTTTTTTATTTTCATGAAACAATCGATATATCTGGCTAATAGGATTTCTGAACTAAGCGTAAGTCTAATAGATATAAAGTATATTGTGCATAAAAAGTAAAAACTTTCTTATATCGGTCGGGACCTTTTAATATGGGGAGTATCTTATTGCATTTTGTAGATATAGGTTGGCCATACTATGAAAAAAATAATGTTCCAAATACCAGACACTCAGTTTGGAAAAGAATATCTGAAAGAATCCTGTTTGCCACATTATAGCAACTTCAGTGAAAAATTCGGCAAAAACCTTCAAATACCGTGACCTTGATACAAAGTTTATATCAACACTAGAATGAATTTCGAAAATTCGGAGGGAAATGCTGATAAAACCTAAAAAAATCTGAAAATGAAACGAGTCCTTAATATGGAGCTATATTAAACCAGTAAGGAAAGTAGTAAAGTCGGACTGGGCTGATTATATGATACCCTTCACCACTTTGGGTATATTGTACATATGTATCCTTACAATTGCATGTCAATGTTCCCTCGTCGAAACATACTCATGTCTTTCTGCAACCTATGATAAATTTAATTTTATTCGGGCAGATTTAGGGTCGTCTGCGTACCATAGGACAAATTTATGGAAAACGTTTTATAGCAAAATTGATACACGCTATTCGGTTTTCCGCACTGTTAAAAATTTTATTTCAATCAGACACCCGTTCGAAATACATATGGAAGCTATGGCTACATCTGCACCAATTTCAACAAACGCAATAATATCATTCAAGTCTCAATTTGATACATTTTTCAAAATTTCGTGTTAATCGGACAGACATTCGGAGCTTGGATAGCCATTGATGTAAAATCGGACAAATATGTGAGAGCTATATAGGAATCTGAACCTACCCTAAACTTACCACACATCGTTCTAAACACAATTCGGTACGATATGACAAATCGAAGGATATTTAGGGACTTGCACTATCTACCTACCTAAAATCGGTGGAAAATATATTTGGGAGCTATATTTGAATCTGAACCGATTTTCACGAAACTTACAACACATCATTCTAGACTCAATTCAGTACGCTATGCCAAATGTCGTGCAAATCGAAAGATATATAGGGACTTTGGTGCACTATTTACCTAAAATCAGACGAAAATATATATGAGAGCTATATTTAAATCTCAGCCGATTTTCACGAAATTTAACACACATCATTCCTGACTTAATTTAGTACGCTTTGCCAAAGTTCGTGGAGATCGAAAGATATATAGGTACTTTGGTGCACCATTTACACGAAATCGGACAAAAATTTATATGGGAGCTATATTTAAATCTGAACCAATTTCAATAGGGTTCGACCATGGGCCAAATAAATGCTCTGTGACAAATTTCATCCAATTCTAATCAAAAATGCGACCTGTACTTTGTTTACAATTTAACGTGGACAGACAGACGGACGGACATGCATAAATCGACTCAGAAAGTGATTCTATGCATATTCTCAAAAGGAACCATGTGTCTATTTCGTTTCCTTTTGCCAGTTACAAACATATGCCCCAAGACATAATACCCTGTACCACAGTGTCGTGAACGGTATAAAAATGCATGAAATTTTAAGCTGAATCGATAGTACAGTGGATATAATATTATGTTTGAAGAAATGCACCTGAAATGTTTCATCATCTTAGTCCAATCTTGGCATTCTCTTTCCAAACTTTTGGGTCGGTATCTGAGAAATCAATGCTGTCTTTCAATGCGTCTATTGAAGCGGACTTTAAGAATTTTAAATCACACGATCTAGTAGGCCAGGTTTATCGTCACAAAGATTGAAAAAAATGAGTTTCGTATCTGAACACAATTTTTCGATAAAAGGAGCCCATTCATCAAGAAATCTGGGTTGTGGTAGGTTGTTCTGCATAAATTTTTACACCAGTTGAATTTTGAAACGCTTCACACCTAAATACTTCCGCCACATTGTTCACGTTCTTGAGTAACAGAAGCCCAATTGCTGCGAACGGCGACGAATCGACTATCAATTAATAGTCATCATTTACACTGACCGATCGATGCAGCTGCGATGTCAATAAGGAAGTGCGTGTATTTTTTTTTTTTTTTTTTTTTAAATCGATTGAGAATTGAATATAGCTCCTCTATAATCTGATGAAGAACTATTTAAAAACTGTAGAATTTCCTTTCTTCCTTGTAAAGTGTGAGTCAATTAAAATCTTAAAACGTATTTTCTGCAAAATCGAGTTTTATACCCTTCACCACACTGTGGTCCGTCCGTCTGTCCGTCTGTAGATGTTAAAATGTAAACAAAGTACAGGTCGCATTTATGATCCGATTTGGATGAAATTTGGCACAAGTCACTTATTTGGCCCAAGGACGAACTCAATTGAAATTGATGAAAATCGGCTCAGATTTAGATATAGCTCCCATATATATAGATATAGCTCCCATATATATAGATATAGCTCCCATATAGATATAGCTCCCATATATATATATATATATATTCGTCCGATATAGGCACCAAAGTCCCTATATATCTTTCGATTTGCACGAAATTTGGCATAGCGTACTGAATGAGGTCCAGAATGATGTGTGCCAAATTTCGAGAAAATCGGTTCAGATTTAGATATAGCTCCTATATAAAGTTTCGTCCGATTTAACGTAAATGGTGTACCAAAGTCCCTATATATATTTCGATTTGCACGAAATTTGGCATAGAGTACTGAATTGAGTCTAGAATGATGTGTGCCAGGGTTCGAGAAAATCTGGTCAAATTTATATATAGCTCCCATATATATTTTCGTCCGATTTAAGGTAAATGGGGCACCAAAGTTCCTACAAATCTTTCGATTTGCACGAAATTTTGCATAGAGTACTGAATTAGGTCTAGAATGATGTGTGCCAAGTTTCGAGAAAATCGGTTCAGATTTAGATATAGCTCCCATATATATTTTCGTCCGATTTTGTGTAAATGGCGCACCATAGTCCCTATATATCTTTCGATTTGCACGTAATTTGATATAGGGCATTGAATTGAGTCTAGAATTATATATGCTATGTTTCGTGAAAATCGGTTCAAATTTAGATATAGCTCCCGTATATATTTTCGTCCGATTTTATGTAAATAGTGCTCCAAAGTCTCTATATATTCTTCGATTTTCACGAAATTTGGCATGACCTACTATATTAAGTCTAGAATGATATGTATTAAGTTCCGAGAAAATCGGTTCAGATTTAGATATAGCTCCCATATATCTTATCGTCCGATTTAATGTAAATGTTGCACCAAAATTCGTATGCGTCTTTCGATTTCTACGAAACTAAACAAAACTAGTATGAGGTTTGTTTAGTTTCGTGAATATCGGTTCAGATTTAGATATATATATATATATATATATATTTTCGTCCGATTTTAGGTAAATGGTGCACCAAACTCTTAATGTTTGTCGGATTGACTCGAAATTTTGCACAACGTATCATATATATTTCGAATGGTTGTCTGATTGAGGCTATATTTTTAACAGTGCGATATACTGAGTAACGTGTATCTGCCCAATTGAAACTAAATTTAGCATAGGTTGCAGAAAAGTGTATGTCGCTTCGAGGGAACATTGACATGAAATTGTTAGGATACATATGTTCAACATACATAAAGTGGTGAAGGGTATAATATAGTCGGCCCAGTCCGACTTTACTACTTTCCTTACTGGTTTTATTTATGCCGGTATTGCAGTAAATGAGCGATATGTTCGGGCGATTTTATGGAAATGGTGTATTGCGTATACATTAGCAACAACTTTGGCAAGATATTTTGTTGCATTTATGGCGGGAATATTTCCCAAAAATTAGCAACACTTAATTTTTATTTAAATTAGTTTCTATAGGATTCAAAAGTAAATTATATATAAATATTTGAGATATGAAACGAATAAACCGAGCAAGTATATGTTTATACTACAGTAATAAAAATATTTTGAAATGATAAATAGAACAACAACAACAAACGCGTGTTGTGCTATGTTTTGTTATTTTTAGCAAATTTATGATTTTGTGTTTTTTTTTTTTAATATATATGTACATATAAATACCAAAGCGGGGCGGGTGTTGAAATTATTAAGGGTTTGTCATCATTCCAAAACGAAAATACAATTCAGATTTTGTTTTATATTTATGCATGCATGGTACACCAATTTTAATTTTGAATACTTTAATATTTTCTCATTTATTTGAAAACAATATAAAATGCAAAAAAAAAAAAAAAAAAATATTTACTACATTTGAGCTGTGCCGATTTTCTATTACCGTTATCTAAGAAACAAGGGAATTTTGTTTATATTTTTTATTTTAATATATTTTTTATATTATGCTCCATATTTCTTTCTGGCCACCTCAAAATTTCCACTATAATAATAGAATCATAAATATAATATATTCAAATACCCGCATGATTTTCTAATGATGTTTTTCGTTATTCGTGATCATAGCACACGAATGCAGTCAGTCAGTATTGACTGCGTTATTGGAATTATTAGCCGGTGTTTTTTTAAACGCTATACTGACGGAAAATTTGTGCGATGACATTTGAAAAGTGATCGGAAATAGTGAAATACTAGAAACAAATTGTGAACTGTAGGTTGATTAAAAAATATGAATTGAAAGTTAAACAAGTTAAAACACTCTGTATAAAGAAGTTGTTGCATTGAAGTTGTTAAATTAGAAAAAGCAACAACAAAAAAGTTTTGCAAATATCTATAATCAAAAAGTGGGTGACAAAAATAAAAAAAATATAAAAAATTATGAGGGTGTTTTTTTTATCAATATGAAGAAAAATAATTTTGTTTTGTTTTCTTAAATACTAGCAAAGAAAGAAATTGAACGAAATAAAAATGTCGTTAAAATCGGACCTTACCACCAGTCCTTACCATTATTCCACCACAATTTCCTTAAATCAATGGGATTATGTTATTGCATTATGTGGTAGTATGAAGTTGTTCATGCTCCGAATAAATAATGTTTCAAATATAGTCACTTTGATGACAAAATGTGGTTAAAAACTTAATAATACTGAAAGTGGATGTCCTCTGGAAAAAATGTGTTTGCACTTCAATATCCCGGAATGCAAGAATGGTGGGATACCCTTATATGGGGGGATATACCAAAATATGGATCTATATAGAAACATGAATTGCTGTATGGGAGTTATACCAAAATTTAAAGTGATATTGATAATTTTTGGTAGGAAGATTTGACATCCCCTGAGTACGTAAAAAATAGATTAGAATCAATTCGGTTGAAAAATGGAGTTAATTATACATTCGGGTAGGGAGATTTTCTACTCCCATGAGTTTCAATCCCCAATTTGATTGACACCTGAACCTATTTAGATCTCGGTCAATTTCTGCCCATTATTTTATTAGTTCTTACAAAAATTTGCTTTCTTAGTGGATTTTGGTGTCAACTTAGATGCGAAATTGCGATTTAACTTACATATCGAGTCTTGCGTTAATAAAACGAAATTTTTACTAAGATTCACAAAACGATGGTGTAAGGAGTTTGTCGACCCTTAAGTGACAAAACGTTTATATCGTAGTCTGGTTCCCACTACATTAGAATATGAATGTATTTTATGGAGCCCGTTTTACAACTGTTATTCCAAACCAGTAAGGAAAGTAGTAAAGTCGGACTGGGCCGACTATATGATACCCTTCACCATTTTGGGTATATTCTACATATGTATCCTAGCAATTGCATGTCTATGTTCCCTCTTTCTCCAACCTATCCTAGCTTTAATTTCATTCGAGCAGATTTAGAGCCGTCTGCGTAAAATGGGAAAATTTATGGAAAAATTTGATACACGCTATCGGACGGACATGCATAAATCGACTCAGAAAGTGATTCTATGCATATTCTCAAAAGGAACCATGTGTCTATCTCGTTTCCTTTTGCCTGTTACAAACATATGCACAAAGACATAACACCCTGTACCACAGTGTGGTGAAGGGTATAAAAAGGGGGTTATATGGGGACTTCCTCAAAAAGGGGGCAAATTGCAGCAAATTCGGGTTAAAAACGCGCTCAAGAACCCCAAAATACCGAAAATTGAGGGTACCCTTATATGGGGGCTATCCGAAAAAATTGACCTATATTCATAATTTTTTGTGGAGAAATTTGGTACCTATTAAGAACTCAAAATACTAAATTACAGATAAATCGGTGGAAAAATACTATCAAATCCCCAAAATACTGAAAATTTGGAGGTATGGGGGCTACCGGAAAAAGTGGACCTATATTTATAATTTTCAGCGTATTCGGTTGAAAAACGCGCTCAAGAACCCCAAAATACCGAAAATTGAGGGTACCCTTATATTGGGGCTATACCTAAACGTGGACCGATAAAGCCCATCTTCGAACTTGACCTGCCTGCAGACAAAACTATGCAAAATTGGATACCGTTATGAGAACCCAAAATACCAAATTAACCCAATTTGAGAAACGTGTCAAAAATTTCCATATTGGGGCTACCATATTATGGGGGTCGGAGTAGCCCCCATAACATGGATCAATATTAAACATAATTGAAAATTATATATATTTAAAAATCCACGCCATGTATAGTCCTTGAAGGAATATTCTTAAGAATCCTACTCTTATTGCTCTGAAAGTTCTAACACAGTACCTTGGAAAATATTCTTAAAAAATCCAGGATTATTGTTCAGGTCTTCAAAAATAATCTTTAAAAATTTAAGCTTATATTTCCGCGAGCCCTTACAAGTATTATTTAAATAAATCGACGCTTTCATTTCCAAAAAATCCGCCTATCTTTGTTTTAAAGAAGTCTAGTCTGAGCAGAAAATAAAAACAACAAATCGCCTTTTTTTCATCTAAACATTTATTATCTTAGCCAAAAAACAACAAAACTTACAAATATATAAAATTTTAATTTAAAAAAATTTTACTAAATTTCGATAAAACTAATTAAAATTAAAAAAAAACTGTTATACTATTCGTGACATGACTCATCCTTCTGATTCAACGCCTCCATTTCTTTAGCCTCTCCGTTCAACTTGTCCATATCCACAGGAACACTGCTATATTTATAGGGTTTCAAATATTTCCTCAGCTTGGGAATTATCAAATTTGGATTAACTTCACTGCTATCCTGTCTGCCGAAATAAAAGGTGGTCAACAGAGAGACAATAACTGTGGTTGCGGCGCCCAAACCGGTATACCATAAAAATGACAAATGATGGAAGGCATGAGGTTCGGTTCCTGGTGGCGGAATACTGCAATGGAAAGGTGGACACATAATTTTTATTATGTATTTCGTTATATATTGTCAATATATATTTACCCAGTCAGTGTAGAGTTCATAATGTGGGATGCATCAAAGCTATATGTACAGCCTTCTACTGAGAAAGGTTTAGTGGGGAAACGCAATATGCCCAGGGCGGCATCAATTTGGGAACGTACAGCAACATAGCCCATTAGGGCAAAGGCTGAAATGCAACCAGTAAGGACGCTCTGGGCAAAAAGGAAGAAATAAAAACATGTTTATTAAAATTTAAAACGTACATCAAGATTTCTCAAAACTTCTCAAAGAACTTTAAAACATTACCCTTGGAAATTTTAAAAATAAAATTGAAAATCTCTGTTTACCTCCGTCTTAACGAAGGGCATTGTCATGCCCACCGTAAACATGCCAAACAGCGGCCCAGCGGTCATAGAACCGATAGTCGTCGACAACTGCATTACCATACCGAGTTTTTGTACCACTTTTACCATGGCCATTGATGATAAACCAAATACAACAACAACTGCTCTCAAACCAAAGGCGGTTTGACGTTCCGTCAACGGTTGTTTGCGATAAGGTTCAATGAAATCTTTCAATAACACACCGGAAAGCGAATTCAATGCGGTGGAAAGAGAACTCAGTGCAGCACTGAAAACACCAGCAACAAAGAGTCCCGCCAAACCTGGATAACTGGCAGCAATTTGCATGACGTACAGCGGGACGATTTGATCCTTGGCTTGAGCGAGCTGTAGGAATAGAATTTTTTTAAATACAATATACAAATATACTTTTTACGTCGGTGGATCCGGCTTTATTATGTTCTACACCACTTCTTGCAAAGTACAGAATTCAAACCAACTCAGTCTTAAAACTTAATTTGTTTAAACTTGTAATAGGGATAAGTAAATCGACTTTCAATTAATCGATAAATATATTTCTTATATTGAAAAGTCTAATCGTCGAAGGCGACTTTCTAAGATCGGTTTAGTTTCTTATCACATCTGTTGAAAAAGTCAAAGATCGATTTTGAACATGAAATCGAAAGATCGAAATCGAATTTTTGGTCAGAGGCTAACATCGAAAAGTCTAAAAGTTTACTCTTCCGCTCGACTACGTATCCCTAACTTGTAGCTGGTATGGATCATCATATTTCTACCTCAATACAACATTTATTTATTGCAACCTAATAACGTACAATTGACACTTCCCATAAACCATTCTGTTTCCATTTTATTTTTAACCTAACTACAATTTTCATTTTACAGCGTTAGGGCGTGGAATTATTTATTATTGTGTGAAAATAATTCTCATTAACTTCACAAGAAAAGATGAATAAGTATTACACTTTTCCTCACTGAAGTAGCGAACCGCTGGACTTTCTGCATCGACAACATATAGTAATGTCGATGGACGCCTAAGATCTCCGTCTCATCATGCAGTTCTCAAGGAGGCATTATGGCTGGTAATAATACACTTCCGCTGCGTATAACTTATATTCACAAACCACACTGCTGCTGCATAGCTTACCACTGACCGGCATATTGCTTCTCAAGAGATCAATAAGGTTTCTTTGTCAGCGCCCCAAGTGCTGCCGGTTGTGGTTCCTGCTTCTCAGCTTATCGCATACGACTTTAAAAGGCCATCGAACGTTATACCCAATATCTTGGGGTAGTTTGCCGCATAGCCTACCACTGATGTGATTTTTATCTATATGTAAACCGACTAACATCAATCCCTACACATGTCAATCTGCAACCTATGTTAAATTTTGTAAATCGATTTAAAGCTAACTTGACACACGCTATTTGGTATTCTGCACTTTTTAAAATTTTATCTCAATCATACACCTATTGATTATTTGGGTACAATTAACATGAATAGGTCGAAATTATATATGGAAGCTATGCTATATCTATATCTGAGCCGATTTCAAGGAAATTTGTGATTAATTTAAGTTCATTATATTATCTTCAGTACTTAATCTATATTTACTTCAGTACGTTGTGTCAATCGGCTATGGATCGTTAGTGCACCATTTACTTAAAATCGGACGAAAATATATATAGGAAGTATATGTAAATCTGTAAATCTTTGGTGCTACATTAACATAAAATCGGGCGAAACTGTATATGAGAGCTATATCCAAATCGGAACCGATTTTCGCAAAACTTAGCACACATCATTCTAGACATAGTTTTGTACTAAATACCAAAATTCGTGCAAATCGAATCATTTTCAGGGACTTTGGTACAACATTTGCATTAAATCGGACGAAAATGTATATGAGAGCTATATCTAAATCTGAACCGATTTTTCCCAATTTTAATAGGGTTGGTCCTTGGGCCAAATAAACGAGCTGTACCAAATTTCATCCAAATCGGATTATAAATGCCACCTGTACCGACCACCAATAGTACCAACAGACATGTACTCCATAGTTCGTTCTGGCCGAACTTGATGATATATTAGGAAAGAAATTCATTAGGCCGGTAGTCGAAAATGTCGATAAAATCGAAGAAATAATCGAAATTGACCGGCATAACATCGCCCAGGAGCTAAAAATCGGCCTTAAACCTGTTTTAAACCATTTACTCAAAGCTGGATTTAAAAAGAAGCTCGGTGTTTGGGTACCACACCAATTAACATAAAAATATAGGATGGATCGAATTTCCATCTGCGAAGCCTTGGCCAAACGGAATGAGATAAACCCATTTCTTAAACGGATGGTGACTGGATATGAGAAATGGATCACATACGATAATCCTGTGTGGCCCTAATCGGACATTCCGAAGCATATTAATAAAGTCCTATAGTTAATATAAAACCAGTAAGGAAAGTAGTAAAGTCGGACGGGGCCGACTATATGATACCCTTCACCACTATGGGTATATTAAACAGGACTATTAGCATGAAATTGGATGAAATAAAATATGTGATATTTATCTAAATGTGAATCTACGTAGATCTATCCATAAAGTATGTAAATCGACTTCAAACAAATATAAATGGGTCATCCGTTGGGCTCAATTTTTTACGTTGTGCAAAATTTGATGTCAAACTGACTAACATGAGGAGTTTGATGCCCAATTTACTTGAAATCGGGCGAAAATATATATGGATTAATCGATTTCAAATAAACTTGTCACAGGATAGGTTAT